TGGATTTGATGAAAAATCAGAATTTGACTTGGAAATAGTACCGTATAGTGAAACAACTCGTGTGACAGGTTTTACTGATATATTGCTTGTATTACTTGATGCCACGACTAGATCTGTGGCCAATACCTGGACGGTGGGCCCAGTAGACAACAATGAGGTGTTTCCCGTGATTCTAAGCGGGGGACAAGATGCGGCTAGAGATGTGACCAAGCGAATACTGTTGTCATTGACAGGCGACATGTGGAATGTACTTCCTGAGGTTGACGCCCTGCACGCCCCCAGCGAGGACGAGTGGTATTCGGCGATGAAACTGCTCGAAAAGTACGTGTGTGTTGAAGATGTAGTTGACACAGCCGTGGGAGTGGTGAGCGCAACATCGCGCCGAGTATTGGCTCCGTCGATGTACATTCCCCACGCCGCTGACGGTCAGAGAGGAACCCGACAAGGCTCGTGGCTAATGCGAGCCAATGCGTTGACACTTGGTCCCGATGATGTGGTCACCTGGTACGGCGAGGGCGACAAGTCTGAACGGGTAACTAATCAGGAAGCACGCTATTGGACGCCTATGGGTATTCCCGGAGTGCACTACATGGTAACTTGGAATAATAAGGATGGTGTGATCCGTGAAGAAGATTACGGCAAGTTCCCATTAGGAGCCACGGTGTCCGAGGCTAGTGCGATTGCGAGACTGTGGAGGGCAGTGGAATTTGTCGATGGCGTTAACCTACCATTCGAGATGACTACTCAGCGTTCGTTTGAGTTGTTTGTAGCGGCAAATGCATTGATGCAGGCGGCCGTCGTTACCCTAATTCAAATGTGTCTCGGTATACCCATGTACACGTGGGGCAATTACACCAGCCTTAACAAACGGTGGTGTCAATGGATCAAGGGATTTATGGCACTTTCAACTTTTGATACAATAACGGTACCACCACCTAGCAGACCAATGGACCGAGTGAAGCTGTTTGGATCTTGGATTGATTACTACTCATGGGATGACGACGCCAGGAGAATAACGGTGACGGACGCGCACACCCTTGAAGATTTGTTGCCTGTTGCACTCCTGCCTGCATGGTTGGCGCGGTGGTGGATGGAAAAATTTGAGGGGTTGTGGGCTCCAGGCACAACGCCGGCGGGACGTAACATAGTAGTTGAAGACACGGTGGCTGGAGGGCATCTTGAATTCATGATCGAGTGGGACGAGTATTCCCAGTGGATGAACGTGGCCGAATGGACAGTTGAGCTGCCTATGGAAAAACCACCGGGACGGAAGCCAACGTGGTGGAGCAGTGCGGTGTACTCCACGAATGCTCGGCGTAAATATCCACAAGAGTGTCCTAAGGTATATGATAGATATGCTTATGATTTGTCGATTGTACCTCACCGCCTACAGTTCCCCCATCGTGTGTTACCGGTGTCAATCACGGCCCAGATGCGACACGCTCCATTCGAATTCATTGAGAGAGGAAATTACATCATACCGTTTGTGAGACAAGCCGAATTCGGCGAAAAACAGTCGATAGCAACCAACCAGCTATATAAGCACTCGGGAGACCCAAAGTGGACTGGAGAGTTGGAATCTCGACTTCCTGACCCGTGGTATGACTGGTTGGTAGACGCCGCAGCTACTATGTTGCCTTTTTTAGCTACCGGGAACCCCTGGACGGGGCTAGTATCCGGCGCCGCAGCTGGGCTGCATTCTTTCCTCCAAGATCGGGTGCTTGGTA